TCATCATCTTCTGTCTATTTGGTTAAAGTTAATTTTCATCTCATTTCTTCTGCTCGATGGCGTATCTCCGATAATTACTTTTCTTACAAACAGGTACACCGACTCCAACATCACTTGAATTAATTATTCCTTCCATATTTTTTTAAATGTACGAGCATATAGAATCACTCTAAGGTATAACCTATTCATTAAAAAAAATAAATGAAATACTTTTTTAGATTAACGTAAATATTTGATATTTAAAATGAAACTATTTGTTCAGGTTTTATTATTTTTCTGTTTCCGGCGTTTTGCATGCAGTTTGAATCCAGCAAACATGGTCATAAAATACTCAACGATAACGCATACGAAACAAAACAAATATATTATAAGTAAAACCGCAACAAAATTCGAAACGATTTTTTTTAAAAAGAACAATGAAAATTTATTTACAATTAGCGTAAATATCGCAAAACAAACTCACAAAAACGAACAACGAATTGAGTACTTGTTTTATTTTTAATCAGTCAAAAATGATAATCACTCGATATGATCTGTGTTAATATTAATTATGACACCGAAACCGTGTCGTAGACTTGGAGCGAGCGTAATAGATGTTATTGCCGATGGTGACAGATTTCCACTTAATATTTTAGGTACTTGATGCTAATAATGGGTTAACAACATATTTCAGAGTATAACTAAGCTTTGTTAGTTTTCAATATTTATAGATCCACTGCTTTATTTTCAGATAATCAGCAAAACTGCTACATAAATGAAAATTTTGCTATATCACTGGTCGGTTGGACAATTGAGTTACCCGAGGTATTCTTCATACATACGAGTACATGAGATTTAGGATATGTATGTACATACATACATAATTATGCATTACTAATACAAAATTATGCATTACTAATACTAAATTTAAATCGATTAAGTATTAGTAAACAGCCATGTAACCCGCAACAGACAAAACTTGCGAAAGTGCACAAACTGCCGCGTCACCGTGATTATACAAGAATATGTAGAAAGTGAGTTCACGTTATAATATTTATTATACTTACGAAATATGACTTTGAATTAAAACAATAATGAAGTGTGAACTTTGCCTAAAAATAATTAAAAAAAGTACACTAATTATGTATTGAGCAATATTTTTTTAATTTTTCACCATTTAATATATCTAAAACAAAATCTTAGACTTTACAACAGTTTATGCAACAGTAATATGTAATTATTATTATTTTAACAAGACATGCGTCAGGTTTTTAGTCTGATTTTTGTATAGATTATGCTAGGATTTTTTTGTATCGATAGTATTTAAAATTATGCATTAATAATGCAGAAATAAAACATTTATTATTTTAGAGGACATTGTTCACAGACATTATTCAGTGTGTCTGTACTAAGGAGTTATTTTTGTTCTCTATAATAAATAGATTAATTTAAAACACAAAGATATTTATTTATTTTTAAGTCAGTATACCTACTTACCAATTTTTTATGTTCTTCGTTTATCAATAACATTGTAAAAATTTATGTTTGAGTACTAAAATAAGTAAGCACAAAGCAAAATGTGGGTGAATCATTGTACGAAATTATAAATATTACTCATTTTTTATTACAGTCAAAATATATATTTTAATAAATCTAAAGGCTAGGCAAATTGGTACTTTTATTATTTTAATCAGTTAATTATTATGAAATCTTTTGGTATATCCAAAGTATATACACTAATATCAAATAACATCTTAAATACTTTTTTGCAATAATATCTACCGAACTCGACATTAAAAAGAAAACAAAAAGGTTTGATTTGTCCTAGAAGTAAAGTATTTCACTTCTATATTAAAAAAAATCAGGCATACGCTATAGCTGCTAAGATCCTTGACATAATAATATTTAGTGTGTTGAATAACTAATAAAATGTTATACAATATGAATAAATAATGTGAAGTGAAGCAAGATATATTTTTATATGCAATATTTTATTATTATTTTTTATATTTTTGTTATAAGCAAAAGTTATCTACTAGATATATCGGCTGGATGAATTGTAATCAAAATTAATGTTAATATTATAGCGTAAACATCTATTATAATATTTAAATGCGAACACTTGGATTTTGTTTGTTAATCACGCCAAAACGGCTGAACGTATCTAGATGAAATTTGGCACTGAGATAGATTATAGTTTAGAATAATATATAGGTTACTTTTTATCCCGGAAAAATATAGGACTCTAATGGGTTTGATATGTTTTTGTTTTTCACCAGGGACGAACTCGAGCGAAGCGAGGGTGAGTTGCTAGAATAATATATATTAGAGAAAAATGAAAATACTATACCTACTATGTTTTATATTATGCACCTAATGCCACTATATGTATTTCTATAAATACTTCTGCGGCGGTACAACAATGACTGTTTACATTGCCGCTTCACTTCTTTCACATTTAACCTTGTCACACAAATGAATGCGCCGAGCAGGACTGGAACTCGTGACCCATGGTATAGCACGTATGAAGTAGGGTCACTACAAATTGAGCTAAACGTGTCGTCATTCGAGATTTGCCTTTCGAGTTTATAGGTAGGTACGGCTATATTAATGTTTAAATCGAATGGATTCCATGAAACATGATCATTATTATTTTATGTTACTCCACTCGGATTGCGATTGTGGCATTTTGATAATAAAATTAAATGACAATATGATCACAATTCTATTACTAATCTATAAGCGGTAGAGCAATATGTAAAAACTCTGTCGCCGTTTTTGCCGCTGCTGATCCTTTAACATCCGCCAGATAAAATTTCAAGGAATGAGGAAATTTCGGGAGGGTAGGGGAGTACGAAAGCTTGTACATAATATTTGAGTAGCCCACTCGGCACTCCTCAGTTCTCACTTCCTTGCTCACTGCCGCGGGAGACGCTACGTGATAAGGGAAATAGCGCTTATAATATAGTAACGCTACATAATACATATATGTACTTAGTACTTTTTAAATAAAACTATCTTTTCGGATTTTTTCGCGGATTTTTGGTTCCGCGAAAAAATCGGAAAGATAGTTTTATTTAAAATGTCAAATATTCGCGTAAATCTAAGAAAATATTGCTTAGTACTTTATAATAATAATAAACTCTTTATTGTACACCAAGAAAAAAAATACAGAACTGTTAGGTAATGTACAAGAGGCGGCCTTATCGCTAAAATAGCGATCTTTTCCAGGCAACGTTTGGGTGTAGGAATTAGGAAATAACAAACTGTAAGAGGGAAGGGGTGCAAACAATATAGTTACATATACAATAGCTTACTAATAACCTAGTATGTAGATCATATTCATAAATTAATAAATATTTTTATCTATCAAAATTAAATTCTTATTATTTCAGCCACGCAAGTTGAAAGCTCATAAAGGATTTCTTCAACTAACGTTATGTTTTCATTAGACTCACCGTGAGACGAATTGCAAATTACAGCATTTAAATATTTAAAAGATGGTTAAGGCTCCCAGATCCAAGGTCGCATCCTTTCTCGCATTCTAACCAACCGGCCAGTTTATTTTTTCATATATGCCTGACTTTCTAAATCTCCGAAAGTAACTTATATTGTTTAACATACATTTTTCATATAACCCAGTTACCTTAATTTGTTTCCTCATACAGTTGTTAAAACGTATTAATATGTATAGGTTTTTTAAAAGACGGATACATTACACCATGAAAAATATTAGGTAAATTTATTTTTCTGCATTTTGAAATTGTTAAATATTTTAAAAAGTCATCGTCTATTGCGTAAACAACACAACTATGGCAGTAAGATTGAGAATTTCTATACCTATGTCTTTAGCAGTTTTTAGTGGTTTCAAAGTTATAAAGATTTAAAAAAATTAAATAGCAAATATCTGATTTTAGAATAAACGTTGCAAATACAGCCGAAGTATCAACTTTTTGATAGTGGTTTTTTTCTTAAAGTACTCGTCTAATAATAGGGTTTCTTTATATCTTCTATAGGTACATATAAAAAAATTCAACTGAGTCGATTCTAAAATTTATATATTATGTTTTGGGAAAATGTTATTGAAATAATCATTATTATCGATACAGAAGCCGAACCTATAGTTTTTAGAATTTTTGTCTGTTTGTCTGTCTGGGAACGCATCACTCTCGTGATGCGTTCTCTTCGTTGATTTCATCAAAATCCGAAATTTGGTTTTATGATAGCTGGTTATTCTGCTCAACATAATATAGAATACTTTTTACAGCGGGAAAATAGCTCATCTCTGAGAAATCTATATTAAACGTTAAAACGTAAGTAGGGACGAACTCGAGTGGAGTGAGGGCGTCTCTCTAGTATAATAATAATATAATTTAAAGGGGTTAAATCTATATGTTGAAGTTCTTGATCCCTCTGCATGTTACATACTGTATAAAAATAATAGAATTTGGATATCTACTGAAAAAAATTAAATTTATATTTTATTTTTTTGGCTAAGAAAATCTTCACCGTATAGTGTTTCGTAAAGAAATGAAAATGATATAATATTTTAATGAAAACTAAGATTCTCACGAACTTGAAAAGACTTTTCTTTTTTCTTACTAATATGGATCAAAAACTAAACACCTAAATCGATAAAAATGATAATGTTAAATGTCAAATGTCAATTGAATTATTTGTTTTGAGAGCTGTCAAAGCTTTTGATTCGCGCGGGCAATTTACTCTACTCCCATTATTTTAATTAAAATTTACTGTTCTTTCATTGCTTATATTATATATTTACTAATATTTTACTACTTCTTAAAAGTACCAAATAAAAATTGTATATTACATACATTAATAAGTATATTGTGCGACACTTGTGGTAAATAATTAATCCTCGCTAAATTATTGATTTTTCTTTACTGTAGGTATTGTTTACAATAATTTTTATAAGCGAAAGGTGGCTTATATGTTTTCACACAATATGCCCTAAACATGTATGTCTCAATTTTAAACGGATTATATGTCTTACAGATTAAATGGCAAAACAAATTGCAGATGTACAAATCCATGCCAGTGACACAAATGATTTAGATGATGATAACCTGGATGTTAGTGTGGATCTCATAGACAACGGATTATATCTAGGTAATCATTTTAAATAATAAATTCTCTTTATTCTGTCTATTTAGGACAATGTTTCAAATTGAACTTAATTCAATTAGATTATACAAGCAATTTTGAATTTCAATTCCACACATTTTATTCATAAAAAAACTCTTAAAATAAGTGTGATTTCCTCAGTAATATAGTTTTAATTTTAAAAATATGTTCATAAAACTTGAGTTTTAATTAATATTTAAACTTACTAAACAATAATGCAACAAAAACTATTAGATTATTAACAAAAACTTCTATGATAAATTTCAGGTAATTTAGCATGTGCAAGGGATAACAAAACCTTAGAACAGTTGAAAATAACTCATATCCTAACAATAGATCTGGTGCCACTGCCTAGGTCTATCCTGGATAGGACCAACATTACATTTAAGTTTATGAAATGTAAGAAACCTATCGTTTCACTTTCTCTATTGAAATAATAATAAACTTTAGTAAATTCATCTATTATTTATTATTAAACTGTACTTAAAAAAATAAACTAGTCTCCAAATATTTTAACAAAGTTGCTTTTTGAATTAATCTGTTTTTTTTTTCAATATTAAGCTTAATTTATTTCACTACATATTTAAATTTTTGACATTCATGTGTATCAATATTTTCAGTGGCAGATGTACCTAAAGAAGATCTCATCAGTCATTTGCCAGAGAGCAATGACTTTATCAAGCAGGCCATTGCTAATGGAGGGACAGTGCTTGTCCACTGGTAATTGTTTTTCTTTTTTTTAACATATTTTCTCCGTGACTGCCTTTTATTTGCCTTTGTTTTGAGTGGGTATGATTCTTGCTTTTCTTATGTAAGACAAATGAGGTTGAATTTTGAATGTAGCTGAAGATGTAATTATTTTATATTTATTTACACAATTTCCCATTCAGTAGCTAAAGGAACTAACACACGTGTTTAAAAATGATCACTTTATTTACTGCATGCTCTTTATCTAAACAAATCAGGAACAAGCTTTACCAGGCAAAAGTTTAAATAAATAAATAGGCTATTCTGCATTTGGCTGATTGATTTTATTTTTATTTCACAACCACTAAATATGACCTCAATAATTTATATAGGAATATATAAATGGAAGCTCAAAGTATATTTGGATTCACTCAACTGGTTCACATGTTTTACTTAGCTTTATTTTACCTATTGTTTTTTTTTCTAATATCTTTTTAAAAGACATGTCAATTCCTCAGCCTGTATATGGTCAGAGTGGTTGAATATAGTTTAACTAGTGACTCACCCTCGCTTTGCTTGCGTTCATCTCTAGGTATGTTTTGACGATTAATATGATATATAGCCTATAGCCTTCTTCAATAAACAGGCTATCTAACACAAAAAGATTTTTTCAAATCGGATTAGTAGTTCATGAATCATGAGTTTAGCGTTCAAGCAAACGAACTAACTATGCTTCTTTATAATATTAATATAGATTCATCACATTAAGAGGAGATCTGTTCTTAGCAATGGAACATAAAATTCATTGCAAATTTTTTTTATAAAATATTTAAATCTTTTTACTTATTTTTTAGCTATTTCGGTGTATCTCGGTCAGCGGCCGTAGTAATAGCATACATAATGGAGAAGTATGGTCTCTGCTATGAAGATGCATTCTTGTTGGTCAAAACTAAGAGACGTTTTATCGGACCAAATGTGGGTTTTGTTGCTCAATTGAAGCTATTCGGTCACATGGGCTATATTATCAACAAAGATGATCCCAGATACAAACAGTTTAGATTGAAAATGGCGGGACAGAAATTAAAACAAGGTATTTTTTATTATTTACTATTCTATTTAAGTTTATATTATCTGTAATGTAATGTAAGGTGGACTCGTTTTCCGCACTTAGACTCTCTTCTGGTCCGTTGTGCGTGTATATTATCTGTAATGTAGTTTTCGATTTTTTTTATAGTATAATACTATACTACTCGGCCTCGCTGCGCTCGAGTTCTTCCCTACTTACGTTTTAATTTTCCTGCAGTAAAACGTGTCCTATACATTAAACCGGGTAACCAGCTATCATCATATAAAATTTTATCAAAATCTGTCCAGTGGTTTTCTCGTGATACGTTCCCAGAAAGACAGACAAAAGTTCTAAGAATTATAGATTCGGCCTCTGTGTCGATAATAATGACTATTTCCATTCTATTCTGTTTATTTGTTTTAAAAAAATTCCAAAAAATATTTAATCTACGGGTTCGATTCCTTGTCAGGGTCTCAAACTATCTCCATACCAAATTTCGTCTAAATCAGTTCAGCGCATTGAGCGTGAAAAGGTAACAGACAGAGAGACAGAGTTACTTTCGCATTTATATATTGGTATTAGTGTGGATTTACAAATTATATACATAAACCTTCCTCGTTTATCGTTCTTTCTATTAGTGAAAGCAATATCAAAATCCATTGAATGGCTTAGAAGAAGTACTGCCTACTTCTACTAAACAGAAACAGATGGACAGAAAGCGACTTTCTTTTAAACTATGTGTAGATGAATAAATTTAACTATTAAATAAAAATATTGTAAGACAACACTTCATTCAGTTCAGTTTGGTTTCCATATAAGACATAGCCAATTAGTCATCTCATTTTAGGTTCTCCTACTATTAAAAAATGGCAATCTCTATTTACGTAACTTATATAAAATAGTGTCACACTTCTGGGTTGTAAATGTTACTATAAATATCAGATGAGTCTTTTGTTCTTGTGAGCGTAATTTCGAACCTCGTACACACATGGACTAAGAAGTAAAAATATTCTGTAAATTATTACGTTTTAAAAACACTTAATTTTTGTTAAGATTATTGAATCTAAAATGACATAATATTCGTCTTTATAACGAAAATTACAAATTTCAGTTAAAATTCTGCCTCAATTGTTTGTGGACTTGGTCAAGCCCGACCCGGGTCTAATCAGAGAGCGGCCTGACCCTATAGTGTACAGATGTAAGAAATGCCGCAGAATAGTTGCTAGCCAGAGCAATATAATACCTCATTTACCAAAACAAGTTAAAGTGGAACTCGCTAAAAAGAACATCAGGCCTCCACCGAGTAAACTGACTGGTCTGAATTGTGCGGAAAATGGGCAGCTGTTGATAGAAAAGTTGAAGAGCTTGGCGTGTCAGATAATGGATGGTGTAGAGGCTGATGCAGGGGAGAGCAGCCTGGGGAAGAGTGAGGACAGCTTGGACAGCGAGGAGGGACCCAGTGAGGTAATTGAGAATGGATATATGTTACCCCTTCATGACCATAAACACGCACACGCACTTTTCACCACCACCAATTGAATACTTTTTGAAGTTGGTAAAATTAAATGAAACTATGTTTTCGGATTTTGTCATGGTTTTATTTTAATTTTTTTATTATTGTGGTTATGTGGGACTCACCGGTATAGCCAGAACCACCACAACCATGGGATTGCTCCATCGGTCCACTCTGCTATTAGAGAAGCACCAAGAGCAACCCGCATATCACACCGCCCACTGAGGTGGGCCACTTCCCAGTGCGTTTCTTGGCTTCGCTGTATTTCTGGGCACTACTGAGCCCCCCCACCACGATAAGGTTAATAAGCACATTGGGGGACCCCTGTCAATTCCTACTGCAATTCGCGTTAAGCAACTTCATTCCAAAAATCGGTCAAACAAAATAAAGCCCTAACCCACGATGGTACCATTCCAGGTGACGGACGGCTACCACTCGGGCGTGATGGTGGACGCGAGCGTGACGCGCGACGCGGCGGGCGCGTGCCGCCTCATGTACTTCGTGGAGCCCATGGCGTGGATGCGCGATGTGCGCGCGCAGCCCGCCGGCAAGCTGCACTGCCCCAAGTGCACCAACAAGATCGGCAGCTTTAGCTGGGTTATGGGTGGGTCTGGCTGTTATTGTTCTTATAATGCTGTCATAAAAAAAAGTTGATTTTTTTTGTCAAAGTTCATTTCGAGATATCTGAAGTTTTGCCTTACTACTACGTCAAAATAACATGAAAATGGTTATGGTATCTCCGGATTCATAAGAATTGGAACTTAATAAGTAAGGCTATCAAGTAGCATTTTTTTATGCTGATTCCAAATCTGCATTTAAGTCATTTTTGACCAAATGCTATTTTTTTAATTCATTTATAATGCTTAATTTGGAATAGATATTACTAATTACTAATATGATAAATGTGAAAGTGTGTGATGTTTGTTACTGGGACTTGCCTAGGGACGAACCCGAAATAAAGCGAGGGTGAGACGCTAGTATTATTTAATAATACCACATTAATAATTTACTAATATTTATTTCCAGGTTGCAAATGCCCATGCGGTCAGAAGGTGGCTCCGGCTTTCTACTTGGTGCCTTCGAAAGTGGAGTGGTCGAATATCGTTCAAAACGTGCAAATTACTGTTTAAATAATACAAAACTGAGTTTTAAACCTGAGATACACGAGCATGTAAGTGAGATTACTGCAGCTTTACTTTCCCACTGTTCCCACTGCTGGGCAATGTTTAAAAGAAGACATGGTGATGTGTTGTGAAGGTACATATTATATATTTACTAGCGTCTCACTCTCGCTCCGCTCGTGTTCGTTCCTAGTGAAAATTTAGGTTTGTATGTATTTTTTAATGCCGAATAATATATTTTTTTGGGGTGGACCACCCTTATCACTTAGGGGTATGGAAAATAGATAGTAGCCGATTCTCAGACCTACTGAATACGCATATAAAATTTGGTAAAAATCGGTGAAGCCGTTACGGAGGAGTACGGTAACAAACATTGTGACATGGAAATTTTATATATTGATTTAAATGTAGTAAAATTTACTGTAGTGGGATAGACAATGAATGTGACCTTTCGTATTCCATCAGTTTTGGAATATTTATGTTGATTTTCAACGCATAACTCCACAATTTGTGTTTAACATTAATATGTTTTGTATGTACGTCCATACATACAGTATGTCCTAATGGACATACTGTATGTATGGATATATAATAATTATTTAAGTAAATTATACCCAACTATTAGGAACCAATGACAAAATAAATTTATTATTTATTTATAATACCAACACATTATTTCTCAGAAATATACATGAGTGAGAGTGAGAAGATAGTAGCTTTTTCTGGCTGGATTAAAAACGCGGGAGTACATAATACAATGTGATCACGACTCATCGATCAAAAAAGTACTAGATACACAATAACATGCAAAAGTTCTCTTAAAACTATCACCAATTGTGTTTAGGAAATTATTCTAGTTGAAATAAATAAATTACTTAAAATTGAACCTTAAATGCAATGTTTAAAGTTGTTTTTACAAAAAATATAAAAAAATAAAGCTCGCTCAAATTATCAAATGAGCGCTCATTCGGTAAGGACATTTTTTGTCGCTGACTGTGTATCTAGTACTTTTGTGATCGATGCCACGATGTGAGATATATGAATTTATATCCCAGCAGGAATATTTGGTTAAAATTTAAACACTTTAAGATGTGAAAAATCATAAGGGACTTTTAGAAGTGCTGAGTATTTGAATGTTAGAGGTTGTTCAAACTAAAACAAAGTTCACTTCTTTAACAAGGTTATATAACAGATTTTAGTAGTCTTGTAGTGAAAACTTTTTTAGCTTTTTCTGCCATACCTTGCTTGCCTTTTTTGACAAATGGTGATATCTTGTTTAATATATCAAATGTAATCAAATGTAAAACAATCAAGACTAGTAAGGAAAACCTTAATTAAATTCTGGAAGCCTACAATCTCAACTAAGCCATAGATTTTGGAACTAATGATTTATCTATAAATACCGATTGACCAATTTCAAAAAAAGTTGGTTTGGAATTAAATAAATATCTTTTTAGATATCTCAAAATTCTGTTTTGAGGGTAGAATATTTTTTAAATTTGGAGAGTTTTTGCTCAAAGGTGACACAATTTTAGTTTTGAGTATGTACGCAGAGAAAAATTTTGTACATATTTGATTTTCATTTGCTTTCTAACATATTCAAATATATTAATCAAAACTGGGTTCTTCCTTAAGTATACTTTTGTGTAGCTAATGGCGTACCTGTAATGGGTGTGACAACCCTATTGGGTGCGACACCCGTGTGATTGCAATACGCAAGTTATTAGGTTGGTTAGTAGTGAAAAGAACCGATTAATCCTGGTTTCACCCATGCCAGCTACCACTACTTCTTAAGTATTTAGATCTTCCATTTTGCCCGTAATTTCCATGTTTTTGTAGTAGGTAATTATAACAACTCCAGTTTGATGTGAGGTAGATTGTTGGTGCTTTCCCCTGGTTATGAAAAAAATATTTCTGTTATAAATGTTAATAAATATATTATATAATTAATGCTTTTGTTTTATTCCATACCAGTTTTTGCGAGTGGTGTTACCCGATAAAATATCTATTTACTTAAAAAATCACGACATATTGCTTTATATATGGTTGAATTATGCGGAGAGTTCTAATTGAATTTTTTGATTTACACTAAAAATTTATCATGTCACATACAAAAACATCTTTGTATTTAGATACTTAAAAATGAAACGTGTTATTATTACAGGTAATAATTTTTATTACTTTTATCTTACGATCAATGTTTTTTTTATATTTTTTGAAATTATACAATGGTATAATTGTATATGGTATTTATATATGGTAGGTATATCAATTATCCTGCAACACAGAACACTTATTAGTTTGGTACTGAAAGCGCACTTTAAATACAAAACTAAGAGTACATTGGTGGCTCTACTCTAATAGGGTTGCCGCACGCCACTTATAATGCATATATTATGTATGTAGAATGTGAAGTGGAGCGGCGCGAGTGGGTTTGGATAGCCCTGACGTCACGTGGCAGAAGAGACGACAGCTATGCGATACAAAGAGATAGAAGTATGTCAATATAATACTAGGTGCTGTATAAGCTGAATTGTACTTTATTGCGTTGCATTAAGTTTCTTTTTATTTAAATATTTTTGGTTTCAACTAAATCTTCTATACCAAACTCTCAGTTGTTCTGTGGTTACAGTTGCAAAATATAAGAAGCATCTTTTTATTAATGATTAGGCAAATCTTGACTAGTTTTTGATAGTTCTTTGAAATCATCATTACTTATACAAAATAAAAATAAACAATAATTATTGATGTTCCAGATGTCCTAAATCCTTTAAATACTAAATAATTAAAATTATTTTATGTGCCTTTTTATTACGGAACACCCAAAATGCAGTCAATTTTGCCCGTGTGTATACACTATCAAAGTGCCAGCTTTCATCTAGATTAGTTAAGCAGTTTGACCATAATAAATATATATAACATATGAGACACATATTAAATTTATTCGTTGTAATTAATTGCATATTTAGCTTTCTTTAACAATCCAGTGCTGGGCACGGGCCTCCACTTAGTAAGATTATCACCAACGATCAGGCTATAGTCCACCACGCTGGCCAAATGCAGGTTGGCGAACTTCATATATATTTTGAAAACTTGTTAGTCTACAAGTTTCACATAATTCAAGTTTCCTCATAACGTTCTTTTCCATTTTTCTTCATTTCCATAAGGCGAAGGCATATGAGAATATCAAAAGATCATTATTCACTTTATATGTATGTAACAACACATTTGGCTCAGTTTGTACTTGCTGTCCTATCGGTCGCGGGTTCGAGTCCCGCTGGGTGCATACATTTGTGTGATAAGCACAAATGTGTGTACTCCAGTCATGGGTGTTTATATTTACAATATGTATGTGATATGTATTTAAAGTTATATATGTGTACTGTATCAACTATTCAGTATCGTAGCTCACTATGGAACTGGATGGTGACGTGTGTTAATGTCCCAACATATTTATTTATTATTAATTATTATATTAAACTAGTTGATAAGCAACGGTTGTTGTGCGAGTGTCTGTCCGTCCGTGCGCATGCGCGGGATGTCGTGCAGCGCGAGGCGGTGCGCGCGCATGAGGTGCGTCTTGCGCTTCCAGCTGTCGGCGAAGGCGCGCGCGCAGCCCGGGCACTTGTACGGCAGCTCGCCCGTGTGCGTGCGCGTGTGGCGCGCCTGCGGGGGTCGTTGGACACTATTTTAATATATCATAGTACTAAGTTATGAAATAAAATAATAATTTTTTTTTTTAAACATTGTGAATATTTAACATCTATCTTTTCAGACTTTTTTGCGATTTTATTTCTGAAGATGTGAAGTGACAACATGGTCATGGGAGACGCAAAAATTTATGACTACAGATGGTGTGTCTTGCTACCCACAAAATTATACGATAATTTAGAAGAAAAAGAAAAATGACACTAAAGTACCTCACAATAGCTAATCTAAAAAAATAAAAATTAAAAAACGTTTAAAAACGTCTAAGAAATTATTACCATTTGCAAGATTTAAAAAAATGAATTTTCATAAAAGAAATATCATCATAAAACATTATGCCATCAACATGTTAATATCAAAAATAATTATTATAAAATTAATTACATACCAGTCCACTCGCATCATAGAACCCTTTCCTGCAATGTGTACACACGTACACCCTGGAGTCGGAGTGCCGTCGCTGGTGGCGCCGCAGGGAGGACGCGGCGGCAGTGCGGAAGTTGCACTGCGTACAGGCGTGGGGTTTGGCGCCTGTGTGGATCCGGAGGTGCACTTGTAAGTTGTGAGCTGGAAAATTTTTAAGATTGAAGTGAAACTTCTTTAGAATGGTTGCGATTTGAAAATCGATGAAACAAAAATGCGACACGAGACAAACACAAATATATAGGATTAAGCCGGCGAGAGAATGAGATAGAATACATGATTAATTGTTGCCATGGTAACCATTGTTATTTGTCTGATAAATGATCCAAATAGTTAATGAAGTTCACGGACGGCGTAGAATTATTTCCAGGGGGGTGCATCAACCTCTTCACATTAAACTACAAATTAATCTTTAAATTATTCATTTTTTAATTTTTATTCATAAATCTTTTGCTTTCAGACAGGATTAGTTTGAATTCTTTCCCTTACTACTTTGATCGCCTTTTTCGTACGAACACTATGTGGACGGCCAGATCTTTTTCTGTCACAAATAGGTGTCATTGTATATAGTCTTAGGTTAGGTGCCATTGTATTAGTCCTATAGTCCGATACACAAACATTTGACTAATACCAAGCATATGGAGAGTTTTAAAAATTGTATTTGACTCCATACCTACTTTGTGTAATGCAATCATAGCGATTCAATTCTCTTTATCACCCCACTCCATTTTAATATCGCAAAATATTTAACAATGTATTGGCACGATAATGAGAAAACACAATGAACAATCATTTAAAAATTACAGATTCCAAATTCAAATGTAATATTTTGTTTATTTTTAATTGTAACAGTATTTATGGCCAGATTATGTAGATATTACTTACCTTGACCAAAACTCCATCCACAATAGGAACACAAGTACTGTTTCACATCATGCACTTTCATATGACACTTTAGTACACTCTTCATCTTAAATCTCATGGAGCACTTATCACAGGCATACGGTCTCACGTCAGAGTGGGCTCTATTATGAATTGTCAGCTGTTTTCTATACTTAAAGCTTTTACCACAAGTGGTACATGAAAATTTCCTTTCATTTGAGTGTGATGTTGTATGGTATGCCAGTTGGAATGGTTTTGAAAATACTAAAATAAACAAAAAATCACTGTAGTGACAAATATTATGTAATAAGACATAAATAGAAGAAATAACAGTTTCCTAATTCAGAACTTTGAATCCATTAATTTTAAAGTAAATCTTATCTATTTTCTTATGTTATCTACTAGAAGAGAAATATATTTTATATTTTAAATGTGTGCATATTCATGCAACTTAATTTTTTTTCAATGAATAACATACATTTTGGACAATATGCACATGCATATTTGTGTCCGGAATGCTCTTTTTCCATGTGCTTTGTAAACCATTTCTTAGATATAAATGATTTTCTGCACACTGTGCATATATTCTTGCTTGAATTATCGCTTTTGGTGTCCTCATTCACACTGCACTTTGTATTTTGCTTATCATTAGTTTTATTTTGCACTGTTACAGACTGCAGCAAAGTGTGTATATTATTGTTTAATTTTTCTTTATAAATATTATCACTATCATCAAAAACGCTCTGGTCATCAATATTAATACCGACAGATAATTTGTAATCTGGTAAAGTCAATCTAAGTTTGTTTGGCTCTTCAATAGTTTTAGAGGTTTCAGGTTCTATTATTACGCTTTTTTCGCTTCTCGATGCGATATTTTTGAGGGTCATATTAACATTTTGTGCTTCCTTTATAAATGCATAACATGATTCAATTTTAATTATACAGTCGTAACAAAACTGTTTTGGAAGTTTTTCATTATCGGTAATCTGAAATAATTTTTATCTTTGTAATACTATTGTATTACTCTACATATCTAAATACTAAAAATATGTATGTTACGTACGATTGTAAATTACATTTTTAAAACGATACAACATTACCTTCACATTTGTACAAAAAGAAAACATTTCAACAGCATTAGCATTAAAATTCTCTATTTCCCATGACGCTACTTCTTTCATACAGCAACGACATAGTTTCGAAATATCCATTATTAAATATTTATTTTTATATTAAGTATTCTAATATTTTGTTATAAACTTATATTTCGATTTTCGGATCAATAATATTTATTTGAAAACTGACATGTTTACATTAAGTCAAAAGTCTACGTTTACTTTATGGCCTACGTCATAAAGCTTTGGCATAGAGTATAAAAGCTCTATTATTGTATGGAAATGACTTTTGTCTACTACTTATATTACGGCTCGGAACCGGTCTAAAAAAACGATTTATTTTGGTAATGTAATGGTTAATTTATAGCTCGTTCTTCAACCGGGTAATGAAAACGAAAGGTTGGGGTTGAAAAAGTTGGGGTTTCGGTTTTAATACAGAAATAAACCGGTTAATACATTCATAAGTAAGAAACGTACATAGCCATTCACCATTAGCAAAGACGCGCCAAATGTAAATGAACAAAAACTTATTTTAACCGGTTAATTTTGGTCATAGAACCTAAATTTATCAAAAACCGTTCTCCTGGATTTAATCGGTTAAAGAACGTAACCGAAACCTTAAACTGAAAAGCCTTTCGGCTTAAAATCGACCAAAACCGGTTTAAAAGTTGTACGGGTTTAGAGCCCTGATTTGTAGTCAAGTCAACGGAACTGTAAGGTAAAAACAATTGTTTTTTCTCTTCCGTGGTCAAGTCTATTAAAAATTTAACCTATAATATATATAAAACCATTTATGCATCCAGCCCCTTTTTAACGTCCCACTGCTGGGCACGGGCCTCCCTTTTCCATACGAGTGGGATCAGGCCATAGTCCACCACGCTGGCCATATGCGGGTTGACGGACTTCAATCACAATTCATTCTGTTTTAAAACTTACGAAAAGAGATATTATATTTAAATATTTAGTAGACTAAATAAAAATAAATACGAAGGCGAAGCTGAAGGCAGTATCAAATACATAATAATTTTTAAAACTGAATTCTGAAACTAACGACGTGATGGTTATCGCATAATTCGCAATAATGTACGTATCTGTTCATCTCTCATTACATGAATTTGCATCAAATTTTGTAGGTCAGGGATAATGAAACGCAATTTGGGCACGAAATTTATTTTGCTAGTGTTAACGTTTGTTCTCTGAGATGTAAGTACGTAGGGTGTCCAAACCTTCACCGGTTAAAGGAGACGCTTCTAGAACAATCGGCGCGTTTTGTAATTCAGTAGAGAGTCTTGCACATTGTAACATTAAAAGTGCTTCATTTCGCATTTGACGGTACGCTGCGTCCATTTTGCTTAACACTAAAATAAACTGAAAATTATAAATTACATTACTGTAAAATGTGTATATGAATGTTACCTTGATTGAATATGAATATGTTTGAATGTTGCATAATAATGTTATCTGTTTACACAATTTTAGTAAATAATTAAGGATTCAAGCGTAAGTACCTGATATAGACAGGACTTCATCCGGAGAAAGGAAAAGGGTATCGTTGTATAAATGAATAAATTCTTCATTAACGATATAAGTCATAGCGGTAAGTTTCACTAGGTCAGATATTAGAGCATAAATGGGTGTTTACAACATACAGGTGTATAGTCTAAACTCTCACTCTCCTCGGTACTACTAGAGACAGAAACAAAGGCTTTATATGCTCAGAGATTTCTTCGAGTCACAAGTACATTGCGAACTAATTTTAGCTCTGGTTCAGAGAATCTCTTCATAATTGGGCCTCGAAACCAAATACCTTATGCCAAAGATCCAGTAGGATACAATAATCTAGAGAATTCTAGAAGAGAGTAAGGAGAGCCTGTAATATAATTTTAAATAGACTTTTTTTTTTAAGAAATTAGGGATAGACTAAGAAGACTAACTAGAAATATTGTTGTCTTTTATGTAGGGTTCCGTAACCAAATGGTTAAAACGAAACTCTTAAAATTTTATTTAAGTAAGCTGTAAGATCAATATTGAGCGTAATGCATATTATACGTATGTGGCGAAATTTAATCTCTCTTATCTCATGCAAAATAATATTGTTCTTGAGATGGTATCATTGTTCTACATGTTATTTTATATAGATATTTTTTTAATTATTATAATAACATTTATTATTAGTACCTTTGCCTTTTTCAGTTTCGGTTCAGCTAGCAGAGTGTACAGCATTACAGCAGCGGCTGAGATCTGACACAAGTTTGAAGTGTCCACTACAAATATAACCTGCAATATTATTTAAAAAGAGTTGCGCTTAATAATAAAATCAATATACAATGATTACACAATTACTTTATTTATTTTAGTTTTTAATTGTTTCAAATTAAAATATACGTTTTAAAGATTGTTTAATTAAACATGCTCTTTCTCATTCATAATATATTGTGGTATTTAAATGTAAAAAAATCTAAAGGTACAATATATTAGTAGGTCAATCTTGCAGCCCATTTCCCAAATTACTTGGGGTCGGCGCAGCGCGTCCATACATATTAGTTTTGGCAAAAGTTTTTCGATCGGCCGCTTGCCTGCCGTCAACCCTCTTTGGGAATGCTATCGTTTGCTTGCCATCGAGCAAGGAACTTAAGGTGGGATGTCCCAGATACTTTAGTCGTCTTCTACCACACCCACAGAAGGTAATGTGGTAGACTTATTCTAAGCCGAGTGCTATATGGCTAAAGACATATATAGTAGGTGTAAGGATAAATTGCTTCAAAAATTGTTACCTTTTCAATACCATCAAAGTAATTGTTCCATAATGAAGCCATTTCTCCCCCAACTTCACGTATAGTTAACACTTGCTTTTTACCATGTTTATTTATATAATTTACGTCGTATATATTAGTCCCAATAGTCGGTACTGGGCTATATGTATAGTCTATTCCTTCTGCTTCTTGAAGTTTTTTTAATAGAGTTGTTTTCCCAGAACCTTTTGGTCCTAAGCAGAGAACAGTAATTTTAAGGTCTGAGTCGTCCATTTTCTAAGTTTTATCAATAACTTATTACACGTTGTTTTGATGATGTGTTCTTCTACTTGACGTTAGATGGCGTAATATGTGCGCTACAGTTTACGTTCATCAAAATGGATTTTTGTATTAAAAAAGATTTTTTTGTCTTTAAAGTTTTACACATTATGGAGCTCCAATGCTATTTAATTTTATTGAAAATGTATGTATATAAAATATTTTAATGTTATTAAACATATCCAAGTTATTAAAAAAAACATAATAGCTAATTAAGCTTTTTACGTCTAACATTTATTTTATTTTGTGAATTATCTTTTAATAAAATTGTAAATTCTACAATAGAATTAAATTATTATAACAATGAAGCACGTAACATTCAAAAGTTTACCATTCATACATTATGGTATTTGCCATGGTAGTATGGTACCCACCACTGACCTTAGGGACAACGTGGGTGTAGTAACTCGTAATATTCACCGACAAGTGTCGGAAACTTGAGCCTTAAACTTACGTAACTCTAACGCCATTTTTAAATAATAGTGATGTGCTTTACAGTCGGGAAATCGATTATTCATCAATTTAAAACCATTTTTTTAATATTTAAAATAATAATTTTTAATATCACGAGATAACGTTTTTATATAATATATATGTTTAGTATTTGACATTCAAATAATATTTATATTATAATTACAATTTTAAGAATATTCATAAATATAAATAAGGTCATGAGCACAATAATATAAACGTTAAAGTCAAAGGTAACCAATGAAGGTGCAATTTAATAGGCAGGAAATGTTTTGACCAAAACAATCCAGATTGGCGCGGAAGTTGTATTGAATATTCCAACTTCGGCAAGGTTTTTTCTGAATGTAAAAAATCAAGCTCAATGAGTTTACGTTTTTTGGTAACGTTTTTATTTTTAATTTTTAGCGTATACATCACGCTAAATAATTATTTAATTTTATTTAAACAAAAAAAAATTGGAGATATAGTTGTCAAAAAATCGATCCTATTATAAACAAAATATTTATTGTAAAAAGTCAATTTACAGACAGATAATTTCATTAAAGAAATAAATTAAACACACGCCCCTCTCTATAGAGGTTAGCAACTGTGGCCCGCGAATTTCGACTGCGTAACTGGGACGCACCCTTGACCCACTGACTCACTGTCATAGCGCATTGTTTTTCAACAATCAATAAATAATACTTCGAGCAAAACTCTTTACACTTGCGCAATATGCTCATCGTTGCACTATTTTTTTGTTATAAATAATTAAAATTTAGATTTTACATAATTTTATTGAGGCCACAGATACAATTTGAAAATGTAGCGATAAAAAAATCTTATAATATAAAATGAGCAATTGTTGTATTTATTTCGTGTATCTCAGAAACGATTCTAATGATTTCGACCAAATTTAGTATTTAGATAAGGTTTGGCATTTTTTAAATCTATAATGATGTCTTATCTAGAACAAACTCATTGTTTCATAAAATGTTTTTTATAACTAATTGTTAGGGCCTTGTTCTATGTACTCTCTGCTGACAATGCCATAGAGCGCTATATGGTAAAATGTAAATTTTTGTGGTACTTGCATTGTCGGCAATGGATGATACCAATGACCACGAGCGCCTACGCCGAGCGAGGCTCGTTCGCCCAAGGTACTTATCATAATATTATTATGTAACTAGCATTGCTCGCGGCTCCGCCCGCGTTCAGATGACCGAAAACCAAATTCTTAGGTTTTACTTATTAGTATACTCTTACAATAGAGATTTTGTATTTTTTCTCAGAAATGAGATATTTTCTCGCGGTAAAAACTAAAGAGTATCCTAAATGTTGACCCGTATAACCAGCTATCATCATACCAAATTTCATCAAAATCTGTCCAGTGGTTTTCTCGTGATGCGGTAACAGACAGACAGACAAAAGTTCTAAAATATAGATTCGGATTTTCCAAAAAATATATAATGTACAGATTCGACTTAGTTACAATTTTATTACATGTATAGATAACAAATAAGAACTTTTGGCCGCTTAATTAATGTTTAATATTATGACATAATACGGTCTAATAAATTTTTAACTTTGGGCGAATGTTGTTCAGCCTACTTATAACATTGATATATTCTGACCTTCATGTTAAATGTACGTTTAAGTTAGCTGGATGATATTCTTAAATGGTTGAAGGCAATACCGATCTAAGGCTAACTATTATATCTAAATAAAAAAAAACAGATTTTTTATAGATTAATTATTCAAGATTCAGTGCTAAATCCACATCAGCTACTTTAATTTTATTTATAATTAATTAACTATTTTGATTTTTATTCATTTGTTCTTTTTTATAAGAACTTATAATGTTCTATAAGTAATTCTACCGCCAATTATTTCTCCGCTTTGATTAGTCAAAGCTATTAAATAATAAAAAAAAAATAGAATTTTCCATTTTGTATTAATGAAAAAAATGTAAGGACACGAGATGGTCTTGCTTGATGAATATCTCGAAGATAATCATTTGGCCTCCTATAAAAGATACGAATATTTGGCTAAATGTTAAACAAAAACAATGCACAACCTTACTATTGTCCGTATCAAATTATGATTCACACGTTTGTTAATTAAAGCTAATTACACCTGAAATTTTTGTAGTACATAAGTTGAAAATTGTAGTTTAAGTATAAATATGAAATTTCAACGTTTAATAGTTTAATTAATATTGGTGTGAATTGTAATAGGGAAAATGCGTGTGATTTAAATAAAGATGAAATATTTTTTTTATAATCTTTATTGCTTTTTAAGCCTATATTCAATTTTTTTATTGTAATTTCTTTTTAAATAAAAAATAATTAATAATTATTAAAAAGTGCAAATATAGGTGGGAAATTCAAAGTAGTTGAAACGCACGTAATTGGTCAGACTGGATATGACGTCAAAGTATTATCATAACAGAGCGATTAGCGATACTGTCGCTACAAACTCAAGTCGTCATTTTTCTATTATGATACTGTGACGTCACGCCAAGCGCCTGATTCGTATCAGCTGGTATTTTTAAATTTTTTTATACTAAATTTTAGTATATTTTATAATTTTTTTAAAGTATATTTTTAATTTTTTTATACTACATTTTAGTTTTTTTTAGTATCACGAGATAGCGTTGTGCGTAGTGCGTATGTTTATTAGATATTTCTTTTACAGTTATATGACGATGTATAAAAAAACCACGCATATTCCCTATTCTCATTTCTCAAAAAATATTTGACTGCGAACTTAAAAGTTTTTCGCTATACTTTGTACTGTAGACAAGGGGAGCTTATTACTCCACTCTTATTTCTGGGTAATGACGTGTCAATGCTGTTGGTTAAGGGCAAGGCCGTACCTTTCTGTAATTTGTAACGGTTTTAATCTGGCTATACTTACAACCCATACAAATATTTGTTTTACACTTTAATTTTAATTATTCCACTATTCTTATAATTCATTTGTCAGTGAATGAGCGAGTAACTGTATGAGCGAGAGAGCAAGCGAGTAAGAGTGTGTTTTTATCGAAGTACCTATCATACGAACGGAATCTAGCATTTTCTTGATATACTAATTTTAATTATATTACATTAAATTGAAATAAATAAAACATACATAAAAGTAAAAATTAACAATTTTACCACATATGGTTAAATACTTATAATAACCTATAAAATATATATTCCAATATTATATTTCATCATAGAGAAAAATCTTACTTAGGAATAAAAATAAGTCATATTGATCAGTGAAAAAATGAGGTATAATTATAATGTAAACAATAGATCTCCATGTTTCTATCTTGGGAAAAAGAACGAAAGTATTAAATACTCAACCTAACCCAAGTTGACCGTGTCTGTGACCAATAGGCCTTTCACCACTCGCGTGACGGAAAGTGACAGTGGCCGTGACGTTAACGAGATTCACTTTAAATTTCCATTTTGTTCGCGAATTGCGATCTATTTCACAATATTTATTAATATTTTTATGTAGACTACTTGTTTTTGTGACGTTGCTCATGTTACATATTATTGAAATTTCAATACGTCATATGAGATTGATTGATACGTTATAAGTAATTTCTAATTTGCGTTCAATAGCAAGGGAAATAAAATTTCTCCAATCATAATGAAATAGCTAGTAGCTAGAGTTTATTTATATAATTTTAATTAACTAGCAGAAATTCTAGCAGCTCCTAACGCTAGAACGGTAAAACTTCAAAAAAACTCCAAAAAGGGTAGGTTTCCTACAAACTTTTTATACCTATTACCCCCTTATGGGATGAATTTCGAAAAATGCTGTAACACGTATTTATTTAATTACTGAAGAGCATTATTATATAAGAAAAACGACAGAAGCTTTATGTAAGGTTTTATTATTAGTCTACACTGATCGAAAATCGGAGTGAGAATGAATATCATATTCACATATCTGCTGCCATTATCGAGTCGGTTCTATCGTAATTACCCTCACTCCGTCACAAAAACAATATAGTGTCCATATTGATTATCTCTTAAAAGTAAAGTCAATAAAGCAACTTATATTAACTGAAATGTTCATACTTAGCATAAATAATTATATGAATATTAATAATTAAGAATACTTAATAATCTAACAATAATTAATTATCTAACATTCATATCTGCTGCCATCATCGAGTCGGTTCTATCGTAATTACCCTCACCTTGTCACAAAAACAATATATCGTCCATATTGATTATCCATTAAAAGTAAAGTCAATACAACAACTCATATTAACTGAAATGTTCATACTCAGCATAAATAATTATATGAATATTAATAAATAACAATACGTAATAATCTAACAATAATTAATTATCTAACATTCGGCCATCCTGGCAAACAAGTTTGTCCTCAAACTAATGAATTTCAGTTCTCATCATCTAGTTGACACCTCGCCCCTCGTCACCCTGATCGTGTGATACTTCCCAACCCAAAATGGCCGTGTTGGCATCTACACCCCT